GTAACTTTCCTCCTTGTATGGGCCTCCCGTGCTGCCTAGAAACCAAGCTGGGGGTAGGTCTGGTGTACAGGAGTCCCAAATCCTACACTGCCGTCACCTTCCTGTACAGCGAGGGCCGAGGTAATCCCCAAATCCTACAGCGAAGGAGGGTCTCCACTAAATAAATGTCTGAAGCATCAGTAACTAGCAGGTCAGAGCGACCAAAGCAGACATCTGTAAAATGAGAAGCAGCAGCTGCAGCTCTCCGGGCTGCGGCGCGAGGCCTCTCCCGGGAAGCGCGAACCGCTCAGGACCTCCCCATTGCACGGACGCGCCAGACTGGGGACAGGAAGAGGCAGGTCCCGCGCCCTTAGGCCCCTCTGAAAACCCGGGCCAACGGGGCTCTGGGCGGCGGGGTGCCTGTCTCTCAGGCCCTTCTATTTGGCAGAGGGGCGCGCCCCAGAAGCAGCGGGTCAGGCCGGGCCTCAGCGGGTGGGATGCGGGAGCGCGGGCGGAGGCCCCGGGGCCTGTGACTCCACGTCCCCGCCGCCTCGCGCTCCGCCCCGGGCCGCGCTTCTCCCCCGCCCCGGACGCTCCCGCCCGGCTGCCCCGCCGGCCCCGCTCCCGCCCCGGGCCCTGACCGTTGCGGCAGGCGGCGGGCTGCGGGCACAGCGGGCTGTGGCAGGGCACGCAGGGCCGCAGGTAGTGCTCCCGCACGATCCGCAGCGTCCGGCCCTGGAAGGTCCTCAGGAGCAGCACCTTCTCCCGCTTCTGCAGCATGGTGGCCGACGGAGCTCCGAGCCGCGCGACGCCGCCCCGAGCGGCCGGGAAGCGGCGGGCGCGGCGGAGGCGAGGCCGCGGCTTCGGGCCCGCCCCCCGGCCTCGGGCCCCGGTCCGCCCGCTCCGCGCGAGGTCCCCGGCCCGGGCCGCCCGCGGCCACCTGCGCGTTCCAGCCACCGTAACGGCCGGAGCCCCGGAGTGGAAGCCCGAGGCCCGCGGGGCGGACACTCCAGCCTGGGCGCGGGTCCCTCTCCTGCCTAAATTTCTTCCCGTCCTGCAGTTGCCTAGAGCCAGGGAGGGGTAGAAAAATCCAGCCAAAAAATTTTAGGATAAAATACAGAAGCTGATTTCAGTCTTGTGAAGAAAGGTTTAGTGTCCCTACAAAGGATTAGGATACTTTGTTTCTACCCCTATGTCCCTGCGGGAATGGGGCTGCCGTGTGTAACATGGGGTACCGATTCATGTTTGCTGTTCCTCTTTCTGCTGTCTGTAGAAGAGCTAAAAGATTCAGCAAATAAGCCCGTAACCCTGCCAGCCCAACATTTTTTAAAAAGTTGCATTTACTTTAAATATCGTGTATTTTTAATACATGTGAAAATTTAAACAACGCAGTTAAAATGAAAACCGATTCCGTCCTTTCAAGTAAACACTGTTTAATCCCACTGTTCAATAGCATTTGCAGCCTCTGGCAAAGGAATTCTTTAATCTGCCACTGACACAACTACAAAGGGACTTGTTTGTAGCTGTTGATAAAGACACACAGTCTATTCTGAGATCGCACACGTGGGTTGGATAGAACCCACTATTCTTCCAAGCACTCAGCAAAGACCTTTGAGCAGCAGCAGCAGCTGCTTTAAGTAGAAGTGTCCCATTTAATTTCCACAAGTCAGAAAAGTGAGGCATCATTAGCCCCATTTTACAGACTATAAAACAGAGTTAGGAAGATTAAGTGGCCAAGGTTACCCAGTTATTAAGTGGTGGAATCAATATTCAAGCCAGAAGCTGGCCGAATCCAAAGCAGGCTTCCAAGTAATTACCGTGCTAGTCACAGATGCATAAAATATAGGTCCTGCATCTGCGGAGTTTATGGTCTACTTGGTGAGTTCTAGTTAAGGCAGTTGGACCAGCTGGCTGGGAACATGAGCGCCTTCCTGCTACGCTGAAGTAAGCAGAACTGGGGTGCTGTATAGGACTGCTCACTTCACTAGGGGAGTGTTAAAAAGAGCCACAGTCTCACTCGTTATTCTTCTACTTCAAGTTACCTTACAGTGTGAGGTGAAGTGAATGAGATAGGAGATGGAATGGAATTACTCAAATTAGAAAAACAGCACAGAGCTGGTCTTAACCCCACCCCCCACCCCCAGCACAGGGAGGGCCCAGAAGGCAATCAGCAGTGCAGAGGCCTTCCCCACTTTAGGAGGTCAGCGCCAGTGATCCCAGATGTAGGCAATTAGCCAAATTTGTCCCCTGCAGAAAAATGCCCCAGACAGCTGCTTACAGTTCCCTCCAAAGTGCTCCTGTTTTCATTTTTCTTTTTCTGATTTTTCAGGGGAAAGGGGGTTTTGATTGGATACTAATCTGTCCTTACTGTCTCTCTTTAGTACTTTGTAGCATTAAACTTTCTTCGAATTGGGACAAATGATCTTTTAAGGGAGAGAGTATGTCCGGGGTTCTACTGAAAGTTGTTTTTATCAGGACTTCAAATAATTCAAGGCCCATCAGGTATTTCCTTTGCTTGCATTGTGGCAATAATATACACATTATATTTTTAAAAGCATAATTCTTTAGTTCTTAGAACTGATGGCCTAAAATGGAGAGGAGTGCCTTTTTGGTTGGTTAGTTTTTTTTTTTGCCTCACAGGCCAACTGATGCCTCTTGCCTGAAAAAAGGTGTCTGTATTAGTTGGAATACACCAGTTTATGCTGCAGTAATATGTAACTTTAGAAAGTCTCATTGACTTAAAATGTTGCAGGCACCAAGACGCTCTGCTCGGTGTCTTTCTCCACATTGAAATTGTGGGTCCTCTCTAGAACACAGGCCATTGACAAAGGGGAAAGAGCCCTCTAGAGGGCCTGACTCCAGCAATGAAAAGCTCAGTCCAGAAGTGATGCAATGACACTTCCACCTGTTGACCAGAACTAGTCCCATGACCACACACCCAGCAGGAAGTTTATTCCTACCTCGTGGCCTGAAGGCAGAGCGCTGAAACCTTTTGATGAAGGGTATCTGTGACTACCTGAGTGCCCCAACACAAACCCTTGTCTGTAATTGGGTCAGTCTGCTCTGCTAGCACCTTAACCCTTGTTGCTTGTAATTGCTCAGGGTCTGCCCACTATCTCTTGGATGTTCTACTGCCTGCCATTTTTTACATCTGACGTTCTCCTTCTCTCCTATCAGATGATAAGTCCAGAATACATCACCACATCATCTCTAATCTTTATCACAGTTCCTCAAGGTGGCAGAGACTGACTCCCCTGTTCGTCAAATCTGTGCCCCCTTTTTCTCTGAGCATACAGGTGAACCACATTTCCTAACTTTCCCTGCAGATAGGTAAGTATGGCCACGCTGAGTTCTAGTTGGCAGAATGAAGTGACACCATTTCCAGGCCTGGTCCATAAAAATCTCCCATGCCCACTCCTCTTTCCTGTTCCACTCCCTGGATACTAATGCCCAGGGGATCTTGGAAGCCAGCATTCTAAATGGCAGACACTTCCCTCTCCCAATCCATCTGAGTCACTTCAGGGGATTGTTTGGAACTCCCTTGACTCTGGAACCTCTATAGTAGACTCTTTTTTTGAGACAGAGTCTTCCTATGTCACCCTCGTTAGAGTGCTGTGGCATCACAGCTCACAATAACCTCAAACTCTTGGGCTTCAGCGATTCTCTTGCCTCAACCTCCCAAGTAGCTGTGGCTACAGGCGCCCACCTCAATGCCTAGCTATTTTTTGGTTGTAGTTGTCATTGTTGTTTGGCAGCCCCAGGCCGGGTTCGAACCCGAGAGCTCCAGTGTATGTGGCTGGCGCCTTATCTGCTGAGACACAGGCTCCAAGCCGATAGTGGACTCTTGTAAGGGAGAAATAAACTTTTGTTATAGCAGCTAGCATTATCTCAAAGAATACGCCCCCACTTTATGAAGGAGATCACAGAATGTATCCAAGAGTTGTAGGGCTATTTGTTTGAAAACCCCTCACTAGATGTTCAATGTCCTCACAAAGCTGCTCAGAGATTTTTTACAGTAGTTCCAAACTGTACTTTGTCACAGAGGTGGAAGAGGATCAGTGGGCTGTGCTGTTCTGGTTTGGTCTGAGCAGTAGTACAGTGCCGCAGTGGGAAGGATGCCTGGTGACTTGCTTCTCTTTCTCTCTTTTTTAGAGTTTGTTTGTTTTTATTATGAATATAACAAATACATATAACACAATATACAGTTACACATTTACAGTTTACATTTCCTTTTGTCTTTTTTGAATAGATTCAATTCTGCCTGGCCCCTGCAGAATTGGCTACTCCTGCCACTACCCTGTGTGAACACACGCATTCCATTCTCTTTACCTGGGTACTTTCTTTGATTCAGTTAAAAAGAAAGAAAAGGGCAGCACCTGTGGCTCAAAAGAGTAGGGTGCCGGCCCCATATACTGGAGGTGGCAGGTTCAAACCCAGCCCAGGCCAAAAACCTGCAAAAAATACAAAATAAAAAGAAATCAGAAATTATTTTTAAAAAATAAAATAAAATGGTTGGCTTCACTGTCCTTCTCACAGAACCACTTTTATCCCATTGTTTTCCTTCCTGTCGCTACCTGCCCTCCCTTCATTCAAACTTCAGCCTTAAAAATTCAAGAGAAAAGCTGCAGTAATCACCTTTGTCTCTTAAAAACATCTTGAAATATCTTATGTGGGTGAGGTGACACCCAAGTAGGCTCTCAGAGCATTGTTCAGTCACCCTATTGAAGAGGTATCTATGGGGAGGCTCTGAAAGTGTTCTACAAATTAAGCTTTGCTCACCAAATGGATGATCGTGAAGGTCTATCAGTGTCATGGAAGTTAATCAACAGGAATAAATAAAAATAAATAGAGTGAGTTTCATTAACAAAAGTTCAAACACCTATCACCCAGTGCTTTCTCAAAACTTCATTAGGAACATCCATCTTCACAACGTGTCAGTAAACAGAAATCAGACTTTGCGGCTTGTTGATCTTCTTTTGGGCTGTGCCTTCAAAATACGAGTGAAGAGTCTGCCGTTTCCTTTAGAATGTGGTTATGTGAGAGGTCTTATAGGAGCTCGCTTTGAGGCTGTCAAATATTGCTTTAATTCCATGCTGCCTGTGTAGCACCAGATCCATCGGGGTCTTCCCAGCACAGTTCTTGATGTTGAGGTCGGAGCCATCCGTAATCAGGAGTCAGATCATCTTTTAATGATTCGGTCTCACAGCATCATGCAAGGGGGTGTCTCCTTCTCTGTCCTTGGCGTTGAGGTCCGCCTGGCAGACGATGAGGTACTCTGTGCACTCCTACTGTCTGGTCCCCACTGCCATGTGCAGCGTGGTGCTGAGCAACTTATCTTGGGTGCTAATTTTTGCTCCTTTGTTCAGCAAGAATTTTAAAACATCCAAGTTTCCTCCTCGGCTGGCCCAGTGGATCGCTGTGGACTCAAGCATGTCATGGAATTCAGTCTGGGCTCCAGCTTCTATTAACTTCTCCACCATTGCCAAATATCCTTCCAAGCACGCTCTGTGAAGAGCTGTCTGCTTATACTCAGCACAAACATCTGGATTGTTCTTGTCTGACAAGAATTTTTCTACTACTGGCAGTTGATTCTCCAGAGCAGCCTTCAGAAACCTAGGCACATCCACAGGTTCTGGTTCCTTCATAACTGGAACTTTCCTTTTCGTGTATTTTTTCCTTTTCTTCAGCTGAATGATTATTTCACAGTCTTCTAAATTGTCAAGCTTTGATCTTTGTTCTAGTTTTTTCTTTTTGAGCTCTGCCTCTTGTTGTTTTTCCCTTTCCCACCGCTGCTCCCCCAGGGTCACAGGGTGGTCCAGAAGTGTCTTCAGACCCTCTTGCTTCTCTAAAGTAACTGCAGCTTCATACTCTCCCTCTCTGAAAGCCTCAGGAAGGAATTCCCCTGCCTCTCCATTGCTGTTCTTCTTCCCTGTGACCGACTCTTCCACGTTCAGCAGCATCATGCTGGCTAAAGAGTGTCTGTATGTTTTTCCCCTGGAGAGGGAACCCCTGGAGGCGGCCCTGACTTGCTTCTCTTTTCAGTTTCTCTTTCCTTGTCTGTCCAAGTGCAGACAGGTAGCACGTTGCCCCAACAGCAGCGTGCTGTGACAGCTTTCAGCACTCTGTGGCTGATGGAGATCTCTGCGTGTGGCTCGTTTTCCCTGGTGCATGACTTCAGTCTTCTTCAGGCTGATCACCAGTACGCCTGCACGGCAGAGAAGTTTGTAGCATTTACATGCCTTCCAGCAGAGGTGCTCTGTGAGTGGAGACATCACTCATTACTGGATTATAATCAGAAGATCTCATCAAAAGATTAGCCTAGGGAAGGCGAGACATTTTTACAAAGGGCTAAGAGGTCAAAGGAGGTAATACGAATAAAAGAAATTCTGGAAAGTGAGTTCTAAGGGCCAGAGTAGATTACTGAAGTATATTTTGCAATATCCTCGATTCGTTTATTTATTATGACAATATAACATGTATGTTGCAGCACATTCAAGCAGTAGCGAACTATGCCAAGTATAAATGTGGAAGTTCAATTTCCATCCAAAGTCTCCTCCTCCCAAGCAATTCCCCATTATTGAGAGCTGACTGAACATAATCCATAGTCGGCAAGTCTTTGGAGAATTTGTCATCCTATGTAGTATCAGCTAGTTATAGCTAAGGTTTTTCAAGCTTTTACTAGGTGCCAGTCACTGCTCTAAGCACTTATTGTATTTTCCCATTTAATTTTCAAAACTATGCATTGACCGTGTTACTTTTTCTACTAAAGTAGAGAGGGACTGAAGTGATCGCCCCAGGCCATACACTCAATGTAAGGCAAAGTCAGACTTTGAACCCGGGTGGTTTGGCTACAGAGTTCACACAGTAATGACTCAGCCATGCCACCTTTCAGGTGGTAAACAAAGAGAGGTATAGAATTGGGCACGTTCTAGGGGCTATAGACAAACCCAGTTAAAGGGTTACAGAATTGGAAACAATAACATTCCAGTATTGACCCTACCACTTAGCTAATTTCCCTGAGCCGTAGTGATTTCAGTCATGAAATATGGCTAGCAGGATCGCTGTTGCTAAGTATTGCTATTAACAAGTGAACGATTCTAAAGGGTCATGTAAATACTGTATCTAAAATTACTGCTCTATATCTAAAGCATCAGCTTGCTTTCATTTGTACTCCATCTCTGTGAAAAAGTCATTGGAGGACAAATGGCTGCTGAGATTACTCTGCTACTTGTATTAGGGATAATTTAATTTCCTACATGTTAAAGTCTGTTAATCCTTGATTTTCACTTTCCCCAGCAGATACAATGACTCTCTTTTGGCTTTCCAAACGCCCCGAGAATACCTATAATCCACTTTGCAATGATTACTCTAAAATGTTCTACTTAACTCTTTCTAATTTTTTTAAGAGAAAATTATTTTGGGCTTACCAATTGTATATCTCAGCAAGATTTTTACGGTACTGATAATTTTGTCCTGTTACCACTAAGGGGCGCTAAATTCATTGATTTTTTTTTTTTTTTTTTTTTAAATTTACGGTCTTGGCTAAAGTCCCCTCTGTGCAGGAATCTGAGTAGTGGAAACTTAGCCTTTCACATACTGGCGTTAAAATGCATCCAATTACTTGATTCCAAAGCAAACAAACAAAAACACTTTAGTATTTTAACAATACCTTTATTCAATAAGCTCAAAGGTCCAAATGCTTCAAAATTAATTAGACAATTAAGCTTCAATGATTAAAAAAGAAAAGAAAAAGAAAACTCAGAAAACTGTTTTAGTCTTGAAGCAGGTTAGAGGAAAATTCTGTTACTTGAATAGCCATTTATAATTTTAAAATAGAAACATTATTTAGCATTTAATTTTTTTGTATTGATGTTACTTTGTGAAATTAAGTTCTCATTTATCTTGGAGAGTTGTTATTACCAATTATGGCATATAGTTATTTCACTGGAAAAATGTATGCAGTTTTTCTGTTTTGTTACTGCTTATGTTTGAATATGAATTCTGTTTTATAACTTGTATTGATAAACTATGCATTCTAAAACTTTGTAATTACGATAGGAAGTTTATTAAAAAGTGGAAAACATAAATGTAAACAAGGTATTAAAAGGTTCAATTTAACTTTGATTATTTATTAAATAATGATATATTAAAGTGTGTTTTCATCTGGTTCTAAAGGAAGAAGAATGAGGGCTAAAATTAAAAAAAATTTTTTTTGGAAGCTGAGTCTCACTTTGTCACCCTGGGTAGAGTGCCGTGGAGTCACAGGTCCAAGCAACCTGAAACTCTTGAGCACAAGTGATCCTCCTGCCTCAGCCTCCCGAGTAGCTGGAATTACAGGTGCCTACCACAACTCCTGGCTATTTTTAGAGACGGGGTCTTGCTCTTGCTTAGGCTGGGCTTGAACTCCTCAGCTCAAGCAATCTACCAGCTTCGGCCTCCAAGAATCCTAGAATTATAGGTGTGCCACCAGGCCTAGCCCCACTTCCAATCTTTTGTCAAAAGAAACCAGTCCCTTTCAGGCCTCTCTTGATTAGGTCAGGCTCACTAGGGACAATCTCCTATGTTAGGTCAGCTGATCTGGAATTACATCTACAAGATCCCTTCATAGTAGCACCTAAATTACTGTTTGACTGAATAACTGGGAGAAGGTATATGTAAGGGTGCAGGAATCTTGGGGGCCTCAGAATTCTGCCTACCACTATGGTTCATAATAAACATTTGAACTCAATAAATTATACTTAAAATTATGATATTTGTTAAGTATTTGGTCTTGAATTTCTGGCCTCAAGTGATCCTTCCTCCTTAACCTCCCAAAGTACTGAAGTGTGATTCACTGCATCCCAGGTGTTTGTTAAATAATTGAAAAGCAGCATCAATAATGTTCTTTTAAAAGGAATGGAGGAGGCAGGGTGTGGTGGCTCACTCCTGTAATCCTAGTACTCTGGGAGGTCGAGGTGGGTGCATTGCCTGAACTCAGAAGTTCAAGACCAGCCTGAACAAGAGCAAGACCTCATCTCTTTAAAGAAAAAAAAAAGCCAGGTATTGTGTCAAGCACTTGTAATTCTAGTTATTCAGGAGGCTTGGGCAAGAGGATGGCCCAAGAGTTTGAGGTTGCTGTGAGCTATGACACCATGGCACTCTGCTGAGGGCAACAAAAAGAGACTCTGTCTTAAAAATAAATAAATAAATAAATAAATAGGTTCAGCGCCCATAGCTCAGTGGTTAGGGAGCTGGCCACATATACTGGGGCTGGGAGGTTCAAATCCGGCCTGGGCCTGATAAACAACAATGACAACCATAACAAAGAAATAGCTGGGCGTTGTGTCGAGCACCTGTAGTCCCAGCGACTTGGGAGGCTGAGCCAAGAGAATCACTTAAGCCTAAGAGTTTGAGGTTGATGTGAGCTGTGACGCCACGGCACTCTACCAAGGGCAACATAATGAGACTCTGTCTCAAAAACAAACAAATAAGTAAATAAATAAAAGGAATGGAGGAACCAGGCCTATAATCCAGAAACATGACAAAAGTAAATGCATGCTGCCTGGGTTAGCTCAAGCTAAGGGGGAGAAGACCCACGAGTACGTATTAGCCCTTGCTGTTCATGTTCAGCAGCACCGATTTACACTGAATCGGTGTAAATTTTTCCAGAATTCACTCAGGAACCCCCTGCACAGTGCTCAGAGCCTTTTGCTAATGCAGGATCAACTGGGAGAGGGCAGTTTGTGTGTATAAAATTATTCTTCTTTTTTCCACCCCTCAGTTCCTATCTAAGAGGACTGAGGCTATATCCTCTAGATTAGGATCTTTTCTTATAGACCTATTGTGCCAAGTCATAGGAGACTTGCATTTTTTTAAGATTTGAATTTTAAATTTAAAACGTCATCATCATCGGAAGCCTCCTTTATTGTATGGCTGGCTGCCTTGATCCAGCCCAGGAGAGCAGGAGGCTGTGGGTATTTGCTATTGGTCTTCCACGTAGAATTGTGGTGGGGTCAGAGCTGTCTGTGAGTAAGGAAGCTTCTCTGCTTTTAGTATTTGGGTGGGGGAAGCAAAGGGCTTTTCTTTTCATTTTTTTGTTCTATTAAATCTGACATTTAAAAGATATCATTAAAAAATATTCTTCTGCCTAGAAAGGGCTTGGATCTTGAAGCATAGGCTCTTGTCATGTTTACTATTTAATCCTTCAGGCCTTATCTTTTCTGACTTGGAGAACCAAAGGCATTTTGATCCCCTTCCAGTTCCACAAACAATGTTCTTTAATCAGCTTGAGGCATCACTGTTGATCAGAGAACAGCCCTCCACCCTCCCTGAAGCTAATGGCACTTGCCAATCCTGCCGTCCAGAAGCGAGGGAGCAAGGGTGTCCTTTGAGCCTGCAGAGCGCTGTTGTTTCAAATGTACATGAAACTGTAGAGAATAACCTGAAACCTATTCCTTATTAATAGATGCAGAGCGTAGTGGCATTTGCTAGACTTCAAAGCAATGCCATGATCCCACATGACCACCAAACATATTTATTGATCATGGCTATTATTATAGTTGTGATATTGAAAACATGTTTCATGGGAGGTGCCTGTGGCTCAGTGAGTAGGGCACCGGCCCCATATACTGAGGGTGGTGGGTTCAAACCCGGCCCCAGCCAAACTGCAACAACAACAAAAATAGCTGGGCGTAGATGCCTATAGTCCCAGCTACTTGGGAGGCTGAGGCAAGAGAATTGCCTAAGCCCAAGAGCTAGAGGTTGCTGTGAGCTGTGATGTCATGGCACTCCACCAAGGACGATAAAGTGAGACTCTGTCTTAAAAAAAAAAAAAAAGAAAACATGTTTCATTTCCACTGGCACTAAATTCATCATCTTAATGGAAATGTAAAAAGGAAAAACTACTAAATAGGAAGTACAATTGAATTGTTAATAATATTATCAGCCACAAACACTGAGGTTGGTGGTTCAAACCTGGCCTGGGCCAGCTAAACAACAATGACAACTGCAGCACATACACACACAAAAAATAGCTGGGC